GTTCCGGTTATATACACATCAGTTTCGACCAAGCTTTCTTCAAGGATGGGTTGAGTTTCAGTTAAGATGGGTTGGTCGTCACTTTCGATCATGAGAATCTTCACCCCTTTGTGCTTCATATCATGATGACCAGGTATATCTTTTTCTTCACAAAAGATACAGAACCTATTTGCCATCCTCTCTTCGATCTTCTCGCCTTAGGTTTGTAGTTGGACGACGAAGCTTCCATCGCAGTTATGATCCGAGAACCGTAAGGCTCTGATACCATTGAGACAGGAAACCTAGTGTAGATAGATAAACCCAATCAAGAGGTTCACCGAGAACCCGGAGATCGGAGAATCAGAACCTAGAAGATGACTACGAAGGTAGAAGAGCCATCTCGAAGATATAAGATTCAGTGGTGATGATGGTTGATGATTTTTGATGGATGATGATGACAATAGAGAGAAGAAGATTAGGAGATTAGGTTAATATTTTGATTGATTGATTCTCCCGTACTGAGAAAATGATTACATAGAGTGTTTAGTAAACCAAAGGACTAAACCATAAAGCTAAACCGAATATTAAAGAACTAAACCAAAAGGATAACAGTTTATCCTGTTACATTCAATAACGGTACATGGGAGAGGAAACGGAAACAAAAGGACACTGATATGTCTCAGTTCAGTGAATCGTTAACATCATTCGTCTTGAATTACTCTCCTAAGTCTCCATTGACGAACATGAATGAGAACTGGAAGAACTTTAGACGTCATTGGCATCACTTTTTGCAGAAGATTAATGGAAGAACCAGACTTAGGTATTATATTTTAACAGTCCAGAAAAAAAAAAACACAATTAAGACCCAAGTACAAGTAATGAAAATAAAAATTAATGAATCTTGTAAAGAGAGACATATTTCTTGTTTTGCCCCTATTCTCTTTTTTTTTTTTTTTTTTTTTGTCTACATGCCCCTATTCTCTAGATGATTATGATAGTAGGAGAGACTAAATATACTATATTTTCTTTGTCAACATCTATACTATTAAAGCAAGATCCTATTGTTAAAATTTTGGATTCTATCCCTAGATTTTTATCATATTTATAAGATCATACCATTATTTATTTTTAGAATCTTAATTAATTAAACAATTTAATATCTCATATATTTATGGTAACTGAGAATAGTTCCTATTTTTTTGATTAATAATAATTTTCCTTTTATGAAAATTATGATTTTCTATTTAATTTTAATATCATATTTCCGTGCATCATATTATTTAGCGATTAAAAATTAAAAATTATTATTTACTGTTTCATTTTATCCATAATAATAATATGTCAATTCAATTTGTTTTAAAAACTAAATTTAGATATAAAATGAGTAAAAATATAAACTTATCATAGGTTATTAATAACGAAAAGAAACTAATATTGTTATATGAATAAATTGTGTTTTTTTTTCTATTGCCATTGTTTCATTTTTCAAATGACAAGAAAGTTTTTATTAAAGAAATTAGAAAAAATCAATTTTCTTTAATATTAAAAATATGAATTATTTAACAAATTTTTAAAAATATATTATCAGTTTTTATGGGGTTATTTAACGGATCAACGGATATCATAATACAGATTAATAGCGGGTTTTAAGATATATATCGGGCTGGCTTAAATTTTTAATTAGTAGATTTTAATTAAATCTTAACTGGATTATAAAAAAATTGCCGGATGTACCGGTTCAACTATGGATCTGGGTCGGATATGGAAACATTACGTGAAAATCAAACATTATAATAGAACTTTTTTAAAAATGAATAAAAAAAATTTAAATTTTTTGTGTTTGAATAATTAATTTAATTAAATTTTATCAAAATGGTAAAAATATATCTGCGCTTTTAAAGCGCGGGTCAAAATCTAGTCTACTCTATTAAAATAGAGTCACTTTTTTATCTAATATAAACAAGTCTAAGTAAAACCATTTGATTAATTACTTAATATGATATATTGATTGATTACATTAATCAATCAAATATATACCAACATTTCTGTTTTAAATTTTATTTTAAGTTATAACAAAATCAGTTGAGAAAAAACTAATAAAATCTTACTAAAAATTCAAATATTTTTAATAAAATAACACAATAATTAATTTCATAATTAATAATATAAATTAATTAAAATCGTATTATAAAACAGAAAATAAAATTCTATCATATTTTTATCATTTCCATTTTATAGTCTATATTATATTAAAATATAATTTCTCTATAAATAAAATAAAATAGATAAATTTAGTAAATTAAATTTTTATTTTAAATTTTTTTCACTTAAATACCATAAATTGCTTAATATGACATACTTGATTATTTACATTAACCAATAAAATATATACCAAATATGCTGAAAAATAATAGATTTAACTTTTATTTTTAGTTATAGCAAAACCAATTAAGAAAAAATCTAACAAAATCTTACTAAAATTTTAATTGTTTTTATATAAAATAACATAAAAATTAATTTCTTAATTAATAATATAATAATATTAGGTATTAATAATAATTAAAATTTCTATAAAAAATAAAAATTATATCATACTTTATAAATTTCATGTTATAGTGTATTTTATATTAACAATAGAAGTACTAAATGAATTTAAAAAAATTGATAAATTTCGTAAATTAACTTTTTATTTTACATTTATTTAACTTGAATAAATAAACTATTATTCACCGTTAAAATGTTAACATACATAAACTATGTATATACAAAAAAAATGTTAGCATGCGTTACATTTTTATATCTACAACTATATCTTATTTTTTACTTAATTTAAATCTCGCAACAATATATTATCTAAAATGAGAATTTACAAAATATATTAGTATATAACTAACTTTAAGTTCATGTATTATCAGGAAAATTTAATAATTCAAAGGATATTAATGAAAAATTCTTTTAACTAGAATTTTATTTTTTGATTATAAAATAATAGTTAGAGAAAATATATAAAATATAATCAAAACTGTATAAAATAATGCATTGATTTAGTAAAGAAAAATTCAAAGTCATATAATCTTTCAAAATAAAATATATTTAGTACTTTTCAAATTATGTCTTGACCAAATATAAAATTTTGAAAATAAGTATTCTAAACTCAAAGTGAAAAAATCCAAATTATAAAAGATAAAATTATAGATAAAATTTAAAAAATAATATCAAAGATGCTACTACATATAAAATTTATCAAAATAATATGGAAATATTATTTAAGCAAAATAATATATATATATATATAATTTGAAATATACTATAATGATATATATTAAAGTTATATTTTAAACACAAAATGGAAATATCAATTATCCCAAATAAATATTATTTTATATTATCTAAATAAAATTTAAAAAATGTTTTGAATGCAACTTATAGAAATTTATTAAAACATATGCTAAAGAAGAGCATCTATTTGATTATTTCAAACTATGAATTTATTTTACTTACTCGAAAATATATTAACATGTCTAAAAAGCAAAAAAAAACATTATATATTTATAATGTTGGATAGCAAAGTAAAAAATTAAAAAATATTATATATTAACAATGTTGAGTAAAAAGTTAAACAATACAATTACAAAATTACACAGTATAACACAAAAGTTAAAATATATATTTAAAATGTTGACAGAAATATTAAATATAATTTTGAAAATAAATATATATCAGTACCAGCGGGCGAGTCAAAACTCTAGTATATATATAATTTAGTAGCAAAATTAGATTTTAAAAAGAAAGCAGGATGAATCATTCATTAGTGACTTGTATTAATTAGGTATCTACAAAAACGAGAGTTTCTCGCATAGTTAGGCAAAATAGGGGATGAAAAATTCCTCAAGAGTCCGTAATGGTGATCTTGAGGTTTTGAAATACTGGAACCAGTTTTTGAAACAGTTCAAAGCGGTTTGAGTGATTGTTGCAAAACACCAATAATCGCTAACAACCACAAAAACTGCATTGACGGATGATAATGGAGAAACCAATCAGACTCGTAATAGTGTAATGACGTTTTTTTTTGTGATTCCACAAGTATTTTTGCCAACAAAAAAATGTGGAATAGAAAAATACGCAAAAACGTATTTTTGCTGACAGAAATAAAAAGGGAAATTACATTAAGTGAAAAAGTGAATTTTAGGAGAATTTTTACAAAAACAATATTTCTGCATTATTAAATTATATGATTATACCATTATATTTTTTAAATAAATAGTAATAACTGTTTTAGTATAAATAAATTATGTTGTAAATAACATTAAAGTATAATTTTTTTATTAATATTATAAGATATTAATCTGTTATTAAAAACATATTTAAAACAAGCTAAATATTTATAGAAATTTTTAAATATTTTAAACAAAATTTTAGTTTTTTTTTACATTTTGTAATTAGTTTAATTATTGATACTTTTCTTATGATAAAGTAAATATCATATTTTAAACAATCTAACATGTGTTCCATCGTTCCACAAATTTTAATTTTTTTATAATTTAATTAATTTTTCTTCAGTTTAGTTATTTTTTTTCTGTAATTCCACAGTTAAATCGCGATGATTACTAATCGGAGTTTTATTTTTTTTCCCGCAATAAAAAATTTGTCGAACCGACATTGCAGCAAACCAATCCAAATAAGTTAAATAGACTTTGCGTTTCAGTTTTCTTAAAATCAATAAATAAATACTGTAAACCAGATTTTCCTCCCATAATTCCTATTTAATGTTTTGTACGTTACAGACAACGAAGCAGCGGCTGGATTTTAGTGGAGATCCCATACATAGTGTGACCAGACCACTAACTCCTGTGACTTCTCGTTTTCGCATTTGAGTTTTTACATCTTTACCAGTTGGTCAACAACCATTTGGGTTTATCTAATGTCGACCAGGAATTAAGGACTAATATAATACTAAAGGAAATAAACAAAAAGGTACAAAAACAAATATTATAATGTTTTTTTATCTGTCTCATTAAAACAATAAAACCCTTCTGAAACATCTATAAAGACAGAACCCTCTCAGACCACTTTGAACACTTTTTAATACCCAAAAGGCGAGACCCACTGTCGTTATGTTCGCGCCGCCAGTAGCCGCCGCGTCCTCTGACATCCATCAGCCGTGTCTCTCGGCATTCGAACAACCGACGGAGAAAACCCTTGTCCCCGAATCAACCCAAAGTCAACTCGTTTTCCCTAACGAGTTCCCTTACGAGTTCGATTTCACCTCTCCAGAGGACTTAACGGAGACGGAAGATGAGACAAATGAAGACGAAGATGAATTCCTTGCTGGGTTGACTCGTAGACTCGCCCTCTTCACTCAGCGCTCACTGGTCACTGACAAGGCTAAGGTCTGTTCAAAGCTTTACTCTTGTCAAATGTTTTACTAAACAAACATGCACAGTTTCGCTCATCTTTATCAATCTTTCTTTAGGTGAACTCGACTGAGTCAACTCGGAGTGGACTCGGAAGCTGTACAACCTCAGAAAACAAAAGTCCCAATGGTCCGTTCTCGCAAGCCCCTTCACAGCAAGCATCTTTGAAAGTTGATGCAAAATCCAACAGACGCCCAAACCCTAAACCTAATTCCTTCACCCCATTTCCTCAAAACGCGGCGTTTTGTAACTACTACTACTACTGGTGGCTAAGACAGCCGCAGTTTGCTATGGTCGCGTATCCTTATCCTGTTATAGGCGTTTTGGCCTCTCCAACCGCCGTTACACAACACTCTACTGGTACCGGCGTTTTCCTTCCCCAGGACTACTCAAACCCTTCTGCGTCCCTGAGGAATAGAGGTAAATTTAAACCATTTTTCATGGAATTTGAAAAAGTTTTCGAATTTAAAATCTAAATTGGAACAAAAAAAAAACATTATTTCAGGAGGTGGATGTGTTAAGTTGCCGACAAAGGTTGTTCAGACACAACATTCTAAAACTGAAAAGTTACCTGGTCGGTGGCAATCACGTCTTTCTGCAGGACGCGGCAAACTCGGTCGTGGTACTAATAAGTCTGCAGTAACTGGTGGCTCTTTCAAGGTTTAGATTTATAGTGAGACTGAGTTGGTTACTGGTTATATAGTAAAGAATAATTGTGTGGGGTGAGTTGGATGGAGATATCCATTAGAGCAACTAGTTTTTAATTAGGAGAATGGCAAAAATAGTTATTAATAAGAACATTTTTTTGGTGGCCTTGGGAGGAATTTTCACCTGCTCCTCTTTGGGTTAAGGTTATTTCTTTGTAGTTGCAGTGCAACAGCATAGATGATGATGAGTCGAGAGTATTTCAGGGTGTTTTCTGCTCATTTTGGAATCTATGGGGGGTTGCAGTAAACTGTGTGTAATATTTGTTTTGTTGGTTCTTTTTAATAAATGAATCAAAGTTTGTAGTGAATCATAGTAATGGAAAAAGATAGAATCTGGAAGTATTTGTGTGTTGAGAAAGGTTTGCGTACTTTGGCATCAAGCTTGCTTACTTTAAGACAAGAAAAGACAAAAGGATGAGATGATTGGTTTGGCTCGCATCATAACCTTGAAACATTGACTTTCTAAAGATAATTGTTTTCTTGAATCGATGTTGCTCTCTTTCAATCAAAGTTCTAAGCATTCAGCACATGTAAAGTAATTCCATCTATTATGTGTAGGATTCAAATCTAAATCTGCTTTAATTCTTCTTTCGCCTCGGCACAACAGCACGATCTATGGGCATCCAAATGGTCCATTTGGCATTTTGATCATCTGCTCCAGAGATGGGCTATATATGGCCTTTCATTCCCACTAAACCACTCTCTAGAGTTATCTTCCATTATTTGCTATGTATACTCTCTTTTTTGTTAGCATATAATTTCATTGAATTATTATCAAAATTACAGTGTTGAGTCTTCTCTATATGCTCTTGCTATTTCAATTTTTAATGTACCAAAGGTTAAAATATCTAACTAATTAATTTTTTTTAAAAAGGACATGTACATGTAGGGATGTTGTGATCGGTAAAATAACCCTATCCAATCCGAACCCAAGAGGAACCTACCCAAAAACACAAAATTAAAAAAACCCAACCAAAAACATGTACCAACAGGGTAACCCAAACAAAACCCTGTAAATTTTGGGTAGGCCACAGATTCCTTTGTGATGTAAATGAATGGAAAGTGTATAATATCAGACAAATGCATGAATCTACCCAACTTTTAAAAAGGACTATTGCGCAGTTACATGCATGAATCTACGCAACCCGCTCACTACAAGATTTTGCTTAAATAGCTAAGAATTTTTTGCAGCTAGTGGACCGATATCTGTTGCTAATTTAAGGAAGGCAACGGATGGCGACAAATTAAATTCTTGGCCTCAGCAGCGACGCTATTTGTGATCCCAATCCTAGGGTCAGTAGCTTAGTGACGACACTTTTTGTAGCCAATAGCGAGAGATTAGTTATGACTTGATTTGTGACTTTATAGCTGCGCTGTTTTGGACTCTGTGGATGGAACGCCGCTGGAGAGCTAGCATATGCGAAGGTGTTCCAATGATATGTACGCCGTGTTTTGTAGACCAGTTTGTGAACTTGAGGTGCAGTATTGATGTATGGAGAGTTGGGGAAGATATTAGAGAAAAATATGTATGATGGGTAAGGGAGAGATTGAGCAGAAGGTGAGAAGTGCAATGATAGATAAAGGAGATGGTATGGAAAGATAGGTCTCTAGCTTATAAAGAGAGGGCTAATAACAGCATAGGTAAAGATGGGTCTTCGTTGTCCAACTTACACAAACTTGTGAGGCATGTCTTGTCTTTTGACTAAGCACTCATCAAACTTTTCGATGTTATGTTTTGTCATTTCTCTCTTGAAATAATAAGTTGTTTGAGTTTTATACGATTGTTCATCCTTGTGGAAATGTGTTGGCTGGCAAATTATCAAACAAAGACGATTTGAATGTTAAACCAATGTTATCCCGTATTACTATTTCTTTCTAAACTGATAGTAGTCCTAAAACTATAAAATTCAAATTAAGATTCTAAAGTTTGAATCCGACCTTATACACACTTCAATATTTATAGTTATACTATCATATATTGGACTTTCCTCTTTTAATCGAATTGTGTGAAAGCGTGTAAGAATTTTTGTTGTTGCAAAGCTACTGTTGTTAAAGGCTTAAACCTGAACAACTAATACCGGTTAACAACTTAACACCATTCCATTTTCTATTTCAAAAAGAAATTTCTAATAAAAAAAATTCAAACTCCATTATAATCTCTGGTTCTACTTCATAACAGATAAAAATGAAATTTCTCCAAAACTAGAATCATGTTTTTTATTTTTTATTTATTATCCATTTTTTATAAAATAAAATATTGTTTAAATAATATTCAACTTTATTATGAAATTACTCAATTTTTTTAAAAAGTTATATTTTAAAGTTGTCAAGGATCATCAAATTCTTGGTGGGCCTGAATGAATCATAATCTAACACTCCAGGTAAAAATAACATGAAGAATAATATACACGATAGTGCTGAAGTGTATAATCTCTAACGTCATACATCAAGACTATAATCGAAGAAGCATTCATCCACCTCAGAATGCGACTGTTTTCAAGTCTACAGCTGATACAATACAAGCTTCAGTCTTTCAATGGTTAAATGGTTCAATGATACAAGTTATCGATTGATTCTTAGACAGGCTATATTTTGCATATGAGACTGCAATGACTTGCAGCAGAGATCACGGCCGTGGGTATGTGTATGTTGAAATCAGCACTCTTTAAGTGACATATGAGATGGTCACAGGAAAAGGAAAAGAAGGCCATCAGGTCCACGCCAAAGGCCATACAAATTAGTATTTTCCTATGTATATTCAGATGGATCGCCTAAATGGAGAGGATAACTGATGTTTGTTTTGTGTTAAAGCAGACATAATCTAAATGGTTCATCCAAGTGAATTTCAAAATTTTAGTATTTTTTTTTTTGAAACACAATTATATTAATTCAAACTCAACCACCAGCAGGTGCAGCTATAATGGCAAGTTCAGCAGACAGAGCCTGCTTTGCTAATACATCCGCTTCAATATTTTTCGATCTAGGAATCCAAACAAAGGAGGTACAATCAAAAGAAGAAACCACTTCTTGAATATCAGTCAATATCCCATAGATGCCAATCAGGGAAGTTCTTGCATTGATGGCTTTAATGAGTTCAGCACAGTCCGATTCACACTTCAGTCGAACCAGTCCGAGATCTCTACACTTCCATAGCGCTTCCCTTAATGCTAGTGCTTCCGCAGCTAACGGTGACCTCACATGGTGAGCCGGTATCGAAAAGGATGATGCTCTGTTTTGCGACTTCACTGTCCAGCCTAAACCTGCAACATTAAAAGATTCATTCCAAGCAGCATCCGACTTGATTAAGACACAGTTTGGTGGAGTTTCAGGCGCTGGGGACTGAACGTGTTTTGTCGCAAGGAGTTTTGCTTGGCAGGCGCCCCATTCCCTGGCCATTGAAATTGCTTTGGAGAGCGTATCCGAAGCTGAGAGGGGTCGATCGTTAAACACTAGACTGTTTCTTGCAGTCCAAATACTCCATAATATCCAAGGTGCAAGCTGTCCTTCTGAAACTCCAGTTGGTGGTAAGTTTTTCTTGGAAATTAAGTCACACCAGATCCTTCTCAAATCTATAGATTCAAAATTTTAGTATAAAACAAGATTTATCCAAATGAATCTAATTAGTACATTTTAGTAGAAATGGATATGTCCAAAATAACAAATGACGAACTTATCATTATCCATATAAAACATTTAAATTCAAGTTGCAGACAAAAATTATAATATAAATCATATTTTCGCTAAAAACAAAAAACAAATTCCCACCAAAACTATAGAACTATATTTTTTCGTCAAAACTACAAAATTAATTTTTCCTGCCAAAACTACTAAAACCCGCACAATACATTTTCAAGCCAAAATTTCACTTTCTGAAAATTATAATATCATATTTTCTGTCAAAATCGTAAAATTATTTTTTTACCAAAATCATAAAAAAACAGTTTCATCAAATCCGTAAATTATATTTTCGATAAAACAATAAAATCGCATTTTACAGGTAAAACTTTCAAAATCCTAATTTTTACTACATTATATTTTCTCCAAAGGACAAAAAAATAATATAAAAATTATTTAGCTAGAACCATAATTTAGATAAATACTAATTTTACTACAGTTAAGCATAATATTAAAAAAATATTATATAATCAAAAGAATACTATATAAGTATTTTATTTACTTAATCCATTTAGATGAGAATGGAAATGAGCAAACACACATTAGCTCTTTTAGAAGATCCATGTAGATAAACAATCTAAGTAGAGAAATGAACATTCCCAACGAATATCTAGATTGATCATTTGGATATCTCATTTAAATAGAACATCTACGTGGAAAGTGCCATATGGACAAACAAAGAGCTCCTAATTCTACATATAATCCATAGCTGAGAAAACCAAGAAAACTTTGCTGGGCACTTCGGTGACCATGAGAAAAAGAAAATCTCTTATCCTCTGACAACAGAGGTAAACATTGTAGCTCAATCATTTTCTTCTATATTGGACAATTAAACAAAAGTATTGGAGAGTTTTGATGTATACAAAGCCAATTCGGCGATGGACAAAACACGTGAGAGAAAGACAAACCCTCACGTGCGAAAGAAGGCAAAACTTGTTATGGGCGATGATGGTCTAAGGAATACGTTAGTTCCTGAACTCGTACAGCTCCATTAACCATCCGCGATCAGCAGACACATTGGTCCGAACCTTTAATTTTTTTTTTTTTTTAATGTTTCTAATCAGTTTCTTTTCTTTCATCCTTTTATTATTATGATTTTTACTATCTGTTTTTTTGTTCAAAAATTTTAGTTACAAAATTTTTAGGTTTAACTTTTCATTCATATAAGATATACATTTTCATTCTGACATGCTGTATATATTCAAATAACAAATCATAAGGATTTATATTTCTGTCTATTATTAAAAACTAATTGAGCAAAATATAAAGAATTTACAAAGCAACCAAACTTAAACCACATTTAACATTCGGAACAAAACAGAAACCAAGCTATGAAGTTATAAGAAGAGAAAAGAAATCAAAGTTCGTGCTATAAATTCATAGAGTGTATAAGTCTATACAGTCTTATCAGGATTTTGATGTGGGATTCTTAACAATGATTCACAGTGATCTCATATATGCAACACCAACTTTCATTAAGCAAAGTAGCCCAACTTTTATTTGGTGATTCAACATGCTAATCATGCATATATTTAACTTAAAAATAATCTTACATTTCGAGTGGTGTAAACTCCAAGATAAAACATTTGTTTCTTCATCTTCTGGTCTAGAGATCCACACTAGATAACTTGGAAAATATGATTCAACTCGATCAATCTTACGTGGACTATAGAGGAGTTTACATATACAATATGATCATGTTTAAAAAAAAAACATATGGTCATGTTTTGATACTCAAGTATCAATCTTTGGTTTTTTCCATAAGTCTAAGTTTTAGTATATACTTTTTGGAAATAATATCAGTGTCTCCTCCCGAGGGTCTATGTACTTTTCGATCTTTGAAATTGTGTGGTATGCTAGTTTGTTTCAGAACTATAATCGTTATAAAATTTTATGAATTTGTGATAGCACATCGACATTACACATCGTCGATGTATACTTTAGCAGCGGCAGAAAGAACCAAATATTTTGAAACCGACTACCAAGAATGCTCAAGCTCTTGATGGGCGAACTAAAAAGTCAGATTTGGTACTTTTGTAACTCATATGTACCATCTTGAATGAGTGTATATTATACAAAGTTTAGCATTAGCCATTAGGCCTTAACATCTACGACTAGCTTTCTTTTTCATAGCTAAGTAACTAAGTCTATAATTAATGGCTTATGATTAAAATGATCGAGTCTTTGACCGGATTTTTTTCGCAGACCAATAACTATGTCAACATATATAATAATGAAGTCGCATACGTTTTACTTTTAGACATGAACTATCGTAACAACCTTACCTGTAGGATCTTTAAGATATCATCAGGTCTAGATTTTGTTTCGGATTTTCTATATTTGTTTGAACTGTGGTATCAAGAAGTGATCTTTATTCAACTCATAATGAGTTATGCAGACAAATTGCATATCAGCAAAAAGATTCCCAACAGCGTGCATGTCATTATTATTCACTAATAATGCAATGTATAGTATACAATACAAGCTCTTGTGGAAAAATCAAGCTCTTGTTAAGATCCTTTTATATTAGATTGAACTTAACTGATGAATGCAATCAATAGACACAAGGATTTATATATTCGTTAATGTAATCGTAACGGCAAGCAAATCAAAATTAAAGGGAAAATTAATAGTTGGTCTTATGCTACGCCGTCAGCCACGTTCGGCCGACAATTCATTTGCCAATCAATGTGTCGTCTCTTCATTATCCATTTCTCGTCGTTTTTCTGCACATACATTTTTAGGTTAATCCTACTTAATAATACACATTATGTATATATGTTTGATAATTAATGTCGTCTTTTACAACTTAGAAGTCACGTCCTCGTACGTGTATCTTAAGATGATCACATCTCTTAGGGAATACAATTTGCCAAATCCTAAAATCTTAAGATACTTCGCATCACGTTTCCGTTCGTTTTTTACGCTATCGTTTTTAGTTATGGTTTACGTAAAGGCTGAAATTTACAGCGTAATGAGAATTTCGTAAGCTTACTTACTAGTTCTATGTTTTTTTTTTTGTAAACTACTAGTTATATGTTTATCATTGAAATGTAAGAGCATGTTTAATGAGAGGTTCTTATAGTGGAATTTTTAGAGAAATATAAGAAATCGTCTTTTAACTTTTATTTAATAGTCAGTTCTTAATTTTTTTAGTCCGCTAAAAATTCCATCCTAAAATTTTTTCATTAAACATACTCTAAGCACAATATTGTAATAAGGGTTATTTTGTGATCAAAATTTCTTAATATATATATGTTCCATAAATTAATTTGGAGCTATTATCTCTACTGGTAAAACCTTTTTTCTAAGGTAAATATTTAGATATGAATGTCAGCTTCTGCGGGAATCAGACTTACCAACTGATTTTTGTCTTTGGTACAAAGAGATTATAGATTTCAAGTCATAACTTTTTGAATTACAAACCCCATAAATTATTATTTTATATATTTGGTTAAGTAATTTACGACACTAAATTAATAAATCTTATATTTACGAACCAGATTCGTTGAACTTTACTAAGAAGTCAAAAATGAATGAGAAAACATTGCACTAAGAAGTCAGAAGGAACGGATAAAGAACACGCACGATCTTTGCCAAATCAACTTTTCTTGGTTTACATCTTCAAAAGTAAAAAAATATGAATTAATATGAAAGTAAAGTTATAGTTAGTTTCTTTTTAACAAAGCCATATATTATGAGCTGGCTTAAGCTAAGCAATTCAAATTGACTTTTTGTGATAACATCTTCTTTTTTGTTGATCCCAAATATTCAAATACTATCTTTATTTTTAACACTGATTAATTATCCATTACATATTCATATTTATATTCATATTCATATTCAGAAGATCTATCTACCGGCCAAACAAATTGGATTGTTTGTAAGAAAAATTAAATGTTTATATTTTCTGGGCACATGGATGGATATTCTTTGTATGATTAGTTTTTTTAGCAAACATAAAGGATAAAATCAAAGCACTATCTATACTATTAAAGCAGATGATTGCTTATGAATATGCCCCTGATTTATTAAGGAAATTACAAAACATTCCACTTTCTTTTATTTTTAATGAAAATCATCCATTAAAAGCCCAACTGAAAATCGCCAATTAAAAGCCCAATAATTTTAACATTTATTTACAACGAAATGGGCTTCAAATCTATACAAAAAATTATATATTTGTAAGTTTACAAATTTATCAATAGAAGTAGGTCTGAGTATTTGACACAGACCCGAACAAGAACCAACACGAAAATACAGATCCAGATCCGGGTTCGGATCATTGCTAGAGTATCTGTTGGGTATTTTTTGTTTGGATCCGCAGGTCTCGGTTCGTCCGGGTCCTACTAGAAACCCGATCGGGTATTCTAAGTATTCACAAATTATGGTATATATTAGGTATATTTAGGTGATTGGGTATATTTTTGATAATTCAGGTATTTTTTAAAGTTTCAGATTTGGATTTTCGAATATAATATTAGGTTTTAGGTAAACTTTTAGATTTCAAAAAATATAATTCGGGTATCGGTATAAAATTCCGGGTATATTTTAGATTTTTTGGGTCTGATTTTGGATAATATTTCGGATTTTTTTGCGGTTCTTCGGATCTTTTTAGAATTTTCGGGTTTTGGGATCCAGTTTGGGTCCTTCGGATCCTTTTTGGGTCCTAAATACCTGAACCGACCCGATAATATACCCGAACCAACAAACCTGACAAGATCCGATCCGAAATCGACCCAAAAAATTATAGATACTTATATGGGTCCAAATTTCTAAGATCCAAAAAATATGGACCCGACAAAACCCGATCCAGACCCGACTCGAGGATCCGGATACTCAGAATTAAACAGTATATTATCCGCGCTTTAAAAGCGCGGATCAAAATCTAGTATAGAATTAAAACTAATTAATCACTAGACTATCTTATTTAAAAAGTCAAATTAATTAATTATCAACTAAATATAAAACAACCGTTGAATTAATGTAATAATCGTGTGACTACTGTTTAACCTTTCAATCAACTTTTAAACGCAAATGACACATTACATCGAAGTACTCCAAGACAAACCTACAAGGTCTTCCTTTACCAATTAAAAGCCTAACATAACTTTTAACCCATAAAAATTCAAGAATAATTTGTTAAGCGGCAAGGACAAAAGCTCAAACGTATTTCTTCCTCGACAACAAAAAGAAAATGTATTTCTCTTTCTTTTAGTGCAAATTTATATTACTTCTTTTCTGTAAAAGAGATTTATATTAATATTCAATTGTTACTAGAGAGACATGAAGAGTGCGAACACGACAAACACAAATGGTTTGAGATCGGCCGGCTTCGGTCGGTTGGTCATCTCTATTTCTCTATATATAAATAACCAACCCATTAGCTTATGACATTCATAATAATATTTCGAACACTTCCATCTATTTTTGTAATCAAAGAAGAACAACATTCGATTATATAATAAAAGTGAAAGATGAGAACACTTTGTCCTAATTTCGAGATGGAAGACGGTTTAGAGACGGTGTTGGAAGTTCCGATGCCGGAGGAGTTGTTTTGTTCCGACAACAACAAAACAGGATCTTGGCGAAGTGTCAAGTCTAGTTTGCTCAGGTCACCGCCGGATAACAGTAGCAGCCTCTCCACTCTTTTTGGTGGCCGTGACGCTCAGATTCAGATGCTTCTTGGAATCATCGGAGCTCCGTTGATCCCTCTTCCTCTATCCTCCGATCAAGATGTTCTTGATCATCCCATCTCCAAAGTCATCAAAAACCAATCTATCGTAAGTGGATAAATTATCTTTTATGTTAAAATATCTTCAATTAATTAAAAAAAAACATTTCATTTTTGAGTTAGTGATTAAATTTTAATATTTAGGAGTAGGATTAGGATAAAAGTTTAGGATTTAGAGTAATTTATTCATTTATCCTTCCAGTAATGTCATTTTGAAGATTTTTTTCTTCTGTTTTTGTCATTTTTTTTTTTTTTGCTTTCTAAGAGATATGCCAAATAAATATACTCATTTACGGAATTTTGAGGAGTAAAAACTTTGTAAATGCATAAATAAGTGTTAACTTGATTGACAAGTTTCCTCATACTTTTGCTCTGTTTTGTGTTATAATAGGAAGCAGCCATGGCGAAGTACATAGTGAAGCAATACACTGCAGCAGCTGGAGGAGAGGTAGCATTGGGTGGAGTAGAGAGCATGTATGCCATGGGAAAGGTTAAAATGGGAGTGACAGAGTTCTGTGCAGCGAAAACCCTAAATGGAAAGAGGAAGAAGAAGATGGTGAGGATAAAAAATCTGAACAACGGAAACGGAGGAGAGATGGGCGGTTTCGTGTTGTGGAAGAAAGGTTCGAGCCAATGGAGTTTAGAGCTTGTGGTTTCCGGTTGTAAAGTCAGTGCTGGTTGTGATGGTAACGTAGCTTGGAAGCAAAGTCCTTGGCTCTCACATTCTAGTGAACCTTCTGGACATCTCAGAAGATTCCTTCAAGGACTAGATCCTAAAACCACAGCAGATTTGTTCGCGGGATCGGTTTGCGTGGGAGAAAAGGTAGTTAATGATGAAGAATGCTTCGTACTTAAGGTCGAGACGCAGCCTTCAGGGATCAAAGCAAGAAGCACGAACGGTATGGAGACAGTGAAGGAGACAGTGTGTGGCTGTTTTAGTCAAAGAACAGGACTTTTAGTCCAACTAGAGGACGCTTGTCTCGTACGGATCAACACTGGTCTTGAAGAAGAAGATGTGGCCATATGGGAAACAACCTCTGAGACAATGATCCAAGATTATAAGAGCGTTGATGGGATTCAGATTGCTCATAGAGGAAGGACACGAGTATCTTTGTTAAGGCTTGATGAGAGCTTAGAGAGTCATTCAAAGACTACAATGGAAGAGAGTTGGGAGATTGAAGAAGTGGGTTTTAATGTGAAGGGTTTGTCTTCGGATTTCTTCTTGCCTCCAGGTGACTTGTGTAGCAAGGAAATTGAAGAAAGTGGGTTTAACTTCGGAGATTATAGTAGCCCTATGATGATTCCATTGAAGGTTAGTTCAACTCCATGGAAACTCAAGTCCTCTAAAGTCAGAGCTATTGAAGATTTTAGTGAATTTGAGGGATAAAGATGAAGACGTTTCAAAATATTTTTCCAATTGTAAATTGATCTTCATATTATCTGTTTGTAAATTGTATGTGAAATATTTAGGAGAAAAGTGCTTGTATAACATTAATAGCTAGCAAGCCGTTTTCCTACAGTCTCATTTATGTATTCCACAATTCCCCTCTATCAACTATAGTTCAAATTTACAGTAAAGTTTTATTTTCTTGTCTTAAAACGTATCACTAGATCTCTCTTAAAAGTATACCAACGTGACCATGTCGAAAGTATGTTATGCTCGCCACAAAGAGATTGTAGAAATTTAGCAGCCAATGAATCGGGTTAAGGCCTATATTCAAGTAAGGTAAGTTGAATTAAGGCCTAACTATTACCTTCGGGTAGGTCTGGGCAATCGGGGGACCAATCAGTTTTCGGGTTTACGAAAATGAACCCCAATCGGAAATTATAAAAGTTCGGTCCGGTATCGGTTTGGATTTTATTGGGTTCGATTCGGATTTTGTAACTTTGACTAAACCCGGTTGAATCTGAAATATTTATGGGTTTCAGTTCTTAAACGGTTGTTTGGTTCTTAAGCACTAATTTGTACTCGGTTTGACTAAAACGAAGCATGATGATTAGCAAAAGAAAATCTACTAATGGTGTTGTTAGTTAAGTGTCACATGACGATCTGGTTTAGCTGTGAATTGTATTACACTAACAAAAGAAACATTTGATTCATTGTCCATGTTTTTGACGTTTTGCTAGGTCTTCTGATTTCATAGTTACATGTATGCTGATCAATCTAACCTAGTTATTAATAAGTTGAACTAAACTCAACAAAAAAAAATGCTATCTAAATTTGAAGACTTTTGATTAAACAATACGGAGAACACACAAATATATGATGTGACACAAAGATGAAAGACAAAAGAGGCTAGGATTAGACATAGGATTGTGTCTTGATCGGATTTTAGATGTAATCAATTGGTGGTCGGATTTTAAACCGATATGAACCGACATACATTATAACTCAAAACAGGAACCGTTTGGTAAGAAAATCCGAAATCGACCCATACCGGTTTAATCGGACCGGATTCCGATCGGTTGATCGGTTTTCGGATATATTGCCCAGGCCTACCTTCGGGCTTTGCTAAAAGTTAATAATTTAAGCTTATCTCGTTTGGTTGCAGAGATGGCCTGGATAATTTACGGTCCATAAGAAAAAAATTGTTGGCCCATCTTAGAAAGTGTGAAGTTACTAAAATGCGACTACTGGATTCCGAACTCATCCCCAAAATATCCAAAATTTAGTTGTTACCAGTAGAGCTAGGGACTATCATCTACTACTATTAGCTTCTAGCTCGGCTCTGATGCACATGTTTCATCGGCTTTTCTTCAAAGCCGGTTCTGTTTGGATGGATCACCTACGCGTTGATTCTCTCTTATTAACGGGGAAGACTCAAAGTGAAACTCCACGGATCTTTTTGCTTCTAGAGGTCTTACTCTTATGCCTCTATTGAATTGCATTTCGTATGTGTGTTGTATCATGGCTATTTGCCACGTTATCTTAATCAATAATTTTTGAACATGAAACGAATTTCAAAGTTTGATATGTTAAAATAATTAGTTTAAAAGTTAAAAATTTTGATGAATATTTTAAATTTTCAAAATATGTGTAAGTGTAATATCCCCTATATATTAAGAGAAACATTTGAAAAATTGTAACCTCAATTTTGTAATAATTAAAAAAGAGCTCATGCTTACGTGTCACTCAATTAGGTAGTCAATTACATTCAACTGAAAAATAAGTAGGTCCACATTCAATTTTTATATGTCGCTAGATATATTTGTTGGTCAAACTATATGATATAATATTTATGATAGAAGCATTTATGATTGTCCTGCTAGATATAATTACTATTTTATTTTTATCCTTAAATAAAAGCTACGGAATTACCATAAATGACAAATATATATATATGACAATTAATGTTTCTAATAATAAATATTTGATAACAATTTGTATCTCCTCCATCATTTTTCTTTAATTTTATATTATTAAAATAAATCAAACAATCAAATTAGCTATAAAATTAAACTTTAGATTTTTTTTCGTGTATGTTATATTTTGAATTTAAAAAACCAAGAATAAATGACTAAAACTATTAAAATTATTATGTTAAAAATTAATGATCAATAGTTTAACATTTTTATTATAAAAAGATACACATGATTTTAAAACCATATGAGTAAAAAGTATCATTCAATAATAAAATATATATATATATAGATTAAACTATATACCATATAAGATTACATACTTATTTTAATTTCAAAAATTTTAATGAATTTTCAAGAACATTTATAAATTATAAACGTATTAAATTTTTCACATTGAAAATTTTTGTTATCAATGATTTAAATATATTAGTTCTTTTTTTTTAATTTTCTATATTAAAAAGATATTAACACAATCGATAATATGGTTATTTTTGGTATATACCATACAAACCGAATGTATGTGATTTTATAAAAACCGTAAGATTTGGATATAGTTTGATTTATAATCGATTAAACTGAAACATGTAAATATGTATATCTATTTGTTACATGAGTTGAACTATAATTATGATTTGTAAATCACTTGAATCACTTGAAATATAATTAACTAACAATCTAATGCAACTGAGGTTTCTTATTTTCTTCGTCTTTTTCTTTTTCTTTTTTTCTTTTTTTTAATAAAAACTAAATTGAAGTAAAAATTATAAATTTGATGGACAACAATTAGTTGAAATTCTTTACAATTTTTTTAATCTTTAAACAAACAGAGTTGTGTTCAATCGAAGACATATTAATTTGATGAACACTAAATATGGAAGAATATAAAAACTTTTATTTCATGCTTATGTTTTGTTTTTATTTTTATTTTCAAAATTTAGAGACTTGATATTAATTCTAGATTTGATCATTTTATTAGATCATAGAAGCCTTTTTTTTGTTTTTTATTCTTTTAGTTAAATATATAATATTTTTTTTAGTAAATGACTTTTTGACAATATGACTCTAAATATGATCATATTATTTATTTTTATAATATATAATATGATTTCAAACTAAATAATGATGTATTTTGGTATAAAATTGAATAAACTGAAAACCAATATATAAACCAAATCAAATTGAAGTAAATATTTAGAATAGTAGTTATATTTTAATAACCAAAATACTGAAACTCGATATCCAGATTGAACATCCTTAATCTAAATGAAACAGAACTTTTGTTTCATTTTCCAAAACATAATAAAAATAATAACTTCATCCCGCACAAGACGTGAGTCTTATCCTAGTTCAGAGTTTAAAATGGTTGATTTGCGTTTTAGTTAAATAATGGATTTTATTTGGAAAGTTACGTAACATACAAGTCAGTGGTTTGAAATTAGACAAGAGGAGATAACGATATACGAGCGTTGAGTCATACCTTCATATCAACTCTTGGCTCTTGCCCTTAAATTAGGATAATCAAATTGGGGAAGACAACGACAGTGTCTTCTTTTTACTGGACACTATAATGTTGACATGTGCTTTGAATACTATTATCATCAGCTCTTGGCACTTGCGTTTAGGTTCAAATTTTTTGAAAAAGAAGAGTAAATGCTAACTCGATATATCACGGGAAACTCCACAACCAAAGAGAAGGCTGATCATGTAAGTAAAAATTTTGCCTCTATGTGCAATAAAAATGTATTCATTCAATCTCGACAATAAGAATTGGAACCTTGACATATCGATACGTGCTAGCAAATTTGTGGAATATACTCATCCCACATCCATTTCCATGTATATTAATTTTCTCGTCATCTAAAAAAAGAAGTTCTGTCGTTGTCATATATACATTTTTAAAAGCTTATATGTATGTATAGTTGAGGAAGAGTTAAATAAAATTGATATCTACTATATAGCAATAAATAAGAAATGGTCCCCGTTCAATTCTTAGCTAGCATTGAATTTAAGATCGTCATTCTGTTTCTGACTAATATTTTCCCCTCATTTTTTTCAAACAAACACACATTAAGGTATATATATATTCATTTGCATTTAACATTTTACCAAAAAAAAAAAATATATATATATATATATATATACATTTGCATGTAATATATATTTATCTTTGCCGATAAAAAGTTCAAGGATGGCAGCTTATACTCACTTTACTTATATATTAACCTTTGTCAGATTCAAATTCCTTTGATTTACTAAATTACAAGTTTATTTAATTACCATTACTCAAGTGATTATCATACTTGGATATACTATAGAGAGAAGACTGAATACTTTATTATTACGTAAAGAGGCCGATCCTAGAAACAATATTCTTCTGAGGAATAACTAAAAACATTACTATTACATTTTCAAATTTAGAGTTTTACCAGGGACATTTTCAAAATTTGGTGCAAAATTATACTAATTACTCCCTCCGTTCCTTAAAGATACATATTCTAGAAAAAATGTTTGTTTCTAAAAGATCAATTTTTTACATTTTCAATATATGTTTTATTAAATAATTGTAAACTTCAAAAAACTTAATTGCACTAATTGATTTTTGATTGGTTTAAAATTATGGAAAGAAGATAAATATAAAAAACTATGCAAATCTATTGTGTTTTATTAAAAAGTGTGAAAAAAACTAGAATATAAATCTTTTAGGAACAGATGGAGTATTTTTTTAATGGTGGGCAACTGCCCCACCCACTCACCAAATATTTTCACCACTGATTAAATATAGAGGAAATATTTATACAGTACGTATGTTAATTAATTACAAATAAAACCTTATAGTATAACAGATTTGCTTAAAACGTCCCTCAAGATGGTGGTGGTCTAGTAACGTCAATCATGTTTCTTAAAGCATCCGCAACAATGATACCTATTGGAGTCTCTAACTTTTAATTTTTAATTCAAATAAAAAAAGTAAATATCAACCAATCGCGGACCGACATATATCGTGGAGGCCCGCAAATAGTGCAAGGATTCACTAAGAAAGAACTCTTATTTAGAAATTTTTAAAATAAAGTTTTAACTTTTTGTGGGGTCCACTAATTATTTAATTATTTTTTCTTAAGGATTCTCTCTTAAATACTACCGTTGCGAGTGCTCGATACTCGAGACAATGACTTC